TGAAACTTTCAGGAAATGTTTCCAACTCATCTACAACTTGAATTTATCAAATTCAGCCCCCCAATATGCGTGGTTACAGGTACGGCCCCGTGAAATTTTCTGACTGGAATTTGGGTAACTCGGGAACTGAGAATGCTGTGAAGCTGGGATTTCAAGGGAATGGTCCCTGTCCAAGTATAGCGTAGATAATTAACTTTCCGAAATTAGAGAGCCAGTATGTTTCTAGCTAGCGGAATTTCGAATGATCTTATTGCAGCACGAAACACTGCAAAAACGCATGATTGCACGGGTCCGCCAGTGCGCGTCGCCAATGATTGAACTCCTGCCCGAAAATTCCAAATACTTGAATCACGTTGAATTCAAGTGTTAAAATAAAGTTCAGTAACTGACCTTGGCCCACTGCCGCTGGCTAACGACAGCTTCTTCAGCGATGGTGACGCTGCCAGCACAGGATACATTCAAATTCAAATGTTTTACTTGCCCTGTGAAAAATCATATTTATTTTTTAGTGCTAGAAATTGCAGCAGTAGTTTGCAAAAAGGCACCCAAACTCGCTATTCACGTCTCCGATACAGCTGTGATTGTATAGCACATGATGCTTATTTATATCAGACCTAACAGCCTTCAGTCATTACTCGCGGTATAATCAAGTAAGTGTATCGTGTCTTTGCGACCATTGCGAGGAGTAGCTTTTTTTTTGTTTTTTGATTCAGTGGCCAAGATTTTTTGGAAAAGGAAAAGCAAGTATGAAAAAGTTTAACAAGAGACCCGCGGACGGAACCCCTTTTCCTAAGCCTTTATCACGCTCGGATGATCCTAGTGTCCTTGACTAAAGAACAAAGCTCCACGGCTCACATGCATACGCTTACTGACCTTCAATGATCAAATCACAACCAACGGTCAGCTTAACGGAACCACTTGACCAAATCGAGTCTGTTTCACATTTGGCATTCCCGCAAATTGTAATTGTCAGCAGTGCACTTCGGAACTGTGCGCAGTCTGCGCATTCTTGCCCAACCTGAAAATATTTACCTGAAAAGACGAAGAGAAGGCGGGAAAGTCCGGAGTTGACTATTAAAACAACTATCAAGGTTGCAGTTCCGATGAGTGACTAGTGCTTTACGACGAAATGCTTCAGACCACTTTCCAGAACCAGTAATTTTCAAAAAAAGGCCAGGTTCTTAATTGAAATGTACTACTTTTCGCAATTTATGATAATTTTTTACAGTGTTCTGCCAAAAAGAGGCCAACTTTCCAAGTTCTGCACTGTTCCACTTTATTTGTCACGGAATGCACTCAATAGCAAAGATTCTATAGAATCCGTCATTTACAATGAAATTTAATTCGTCTGTGTTTCTTAAAAAACCAAAAAAAAAAATTTTCGGCTCTTCAGAACAGTGCATTTATACAAGGAAAGTGATAATCGCTCATTGTCAGTATCACACATGCATGCTGTTTCAAAAACTCTGAAATTTTTTTACAACAAAGTATATGAGGAGGGTTACTTCGGCTTTAACGATATTGGAAGTGATGATTCCACGCCTCCACTCATGAGTTCTGATAAGCGCCTGAATAAGTGTTATCTTTTCGAGTGAATTATTACGTCTTTCCGACATGTACATTTCCTTGTACTTTCGTGCCGCTAGCTTTCTGGGCGTATTACTATTCGCACAGCCTTCCTATAATGAAAATATTCAAATCACCTTTTTGAAAACTGTATGCAAAGACGAAATATTACAAATAATAAAACAAATTACTTTACATGCAGGTAATCAGTGCGGGCATGTGTGTTTGCGCTTTTTTTGCTGCAGCAATTACATACTTAATCGAAGGCGTACCGGCTGCAGGTACAAAGATGTATTTTTTGCACAGTTCCCACGCAGGTTTTTTTCGCTAGTGGCATGCTCTTTCCGGCAGATGCTTCTAGCTAAAAGAACTGGGACTGACCACCACGACTGTTAGAAATTATTACAGTGACTCCCAATTCATGCCCAAAAAATTCAGCGCTCTGGATGCTTCGGTTGCGGAGTTGCGCCAAAT